CAAGGCCGGTGGAAGGAGGCCGAAGAGCTGTTTGTGCAAGTGATGGAGACAAGAAAGAGGGTGCTTGGGGAGGAGCATCCAGACACGCTGACTAGTATGGCCAACTTGGCACACACGTGGAAGCTCCAAAGCCGGAATGAAGAAGCTATCTTATTAATGAAAAAGTGCTTCAAGCTACGAAAGCGGGTCATTGGTCCTCACCATCCTAACACAAACGCTTCGCTGAAAGCTCTAAATAGGTGGCAAAGGAAGCATTTAGAGAGCGGAATCTAATGCTGCTTTTATTTTAATTTAATAGAATATGAAGCCAATAAACATGCGAAATTGGGCAAGCTGCGTAAGCATGCTTATCAGTAATACTGAATAGTAACTAATTAGAGTAGCTTACTATTAGAGCTCACCACCACAGACAGGGCCCGCACCAGCCATAGGGTTGGTATGGACGTCTGGAATGGATGGTATTGCGAACAGTCATAAGGATTGTTGCCGATGACAGAGACGGCATGCAACCGTAGATAGCGTAGTGCCTTGCCTAGTAAGGAGCCATTTGTTGTATCGTTGTGTGACAGCTGTATCACCAGAATATGCCGAACATTTCCACCTTCGCATGTGCTTGCAACGACGGCGTTCTGACAGTGGGCACTTGACGAAGCGCAGACTTCGGTACAGTATTATGCCGCCTTCCGCTGCCACGCCTACAATGCCCAAAGCCGCCCACCCCATCTTATCTAAGGCGTCGCATATCACATCGTATTCCCTTCAACGTGCTGGAGAAGAGACATCTGCCCGCTGCTTGGTATGTAGAGATTGGTTATGTGGGGCGCTAGAAGCATAAGGACGTGATAGGCTTGGGCACCGTTTTCAGTCAGCGACGGGTCTGCGGAGCTTGAGGGCAATATAATGGTGGACAGCTATGACACGAAGGCTTTGGATATAAATATAGTTGCGCACTAGGTCGTATCTTAAAGTTGTATGATGCCCGTGTTGAAAGCTAATCACTGTTTCGATGCTGGACGTGCGTAATGCTTTAAATATGCTCCGAGTGCGTGGCGAACGCGCCGCATAACCACAGGTCTAACGGACATCACAATACTTAGTTATACACGATTAATGAAGTTAAATAAGCGAGGTCTTCTCGCATCAGATTTAGTAACTCGCTTCTACTAGAGGTACTGATCGGCCTGGCCGCCTTGCATGCAATTGCGCCCCGCAGCGCGCACAAAGCCGAGGATGACTTCCTATCATCAGAAGAGGTTCGAAGGCCTAGGTAGGGCCTATTTAGAAGGACTAGAGTGGTAAGAATTTAATGGTAGCGCTGTAAGGAGGGAAGTCTAGTACCCTACAAAAGGAGGCGCTGTGCAAATTAGGCGCGGAGGTGACAATATAAACACAATTTTAGTTTTTACTTAGTTAATTAAACACTATCTTAAGCTTTTTTATATAATATTGTAAGAGGTATTAAGCAGGAAGCTCAAGGCACAGAGAGGGAATGTAGAATAGAGGTAGAAAGAGAGAGAGTAATCCTTAGAGTCTAAGGCAGAGGTACAGAGGTTAAGGAGCTGTTACGGTCTACGGTTGGACCAGCGTAACCCCACCAGCGGTGCTCCACAATCTAGCTGGTTTGGGGCAGGGCTCGCTTAGAGACCAGTCGGAGGACGCGGTGGCAGCGCGGCTGCCTGAAATCATGGAAGAATGTGTTGTCTAATAGGAGAATAGGACGCAAATCTTACAAGTTTAAGAGAGCTTAGCAAGCTCTACTTAGTAGGCTTATATAAGCTTATTTAACTTACCTTAGCACCCTAGCACATGTATATAGTTCACACATTAAATAACTTTTAGAAGGTGTGTTTAATGTTTAGTTTATTCTTTACATAGACTAAGTAGCATTTAGCTTTTTAAAAAGCTATAATACTATTTATATATCTTACACTATATATACCTCTAACTCTGTCTAACAGGACTGTTTAACCCTAGCCTCTTTACTGCTGCACATAGGGCAAACCACAATCTAGTCACTCTTCCTTCCTCTATTAGCCTAATAGCCTATACGTAGGACTGTACACCCTACTAGATTAGCCCCTACTATCTGTCCTACTTCCCCCTTAGGAACATTATAAGACCTAAGTGCTTTCTAAAGTAAAAATTATAACATTAAACACTACCCTTTTAAAAAGTATAGCAACCTTTTAACATAATTTAGATTCTAACATAGCCTACACTGCGCTATCTAGATCTATAGAAGTTTTTACCTAAAGTAAAGCTATTTTTGCAGAACAAATTAACTTAATCTAGAATAACATAAAAGAACTATAGTAGATTAGTAATAAAGTTAGTAAGCTACTAAAACTTAAGTAAAAAGTAGCTAACCTTTACTAAAAACTTATAAACTTATAAAACTCTCTACCTCTTACTAACTCTTATAACATAACTACCTAAGCCTACTAGATACATAAATTATAAGTAGAACTAGTAAAGGTTTAAAACATCTTAATAAATAAAGTAAGTGTTATAGCTAAAAAGGCTTTAAAACTAGCCTTTTTAAAGCTTTTTAAAAAATTATTAAAAGACCTCTAACTATTCTTTACCTAATGCTACCTCTACATGTAGTATAATAAGGGAGCATTTTAGACTAATATAGAAATAATCTTTTAGATAAAATTACACTTAGAAGGCCTTTCTATAATCTAGTTCTAACTCTACGCTAATAACTAGATAGACTTTAGAGCTAACAGCACCTTACTTAATTCTAAAATAAAAAAAGTATTTAGTAGTATTAAAAATTTTAAGGCAGCTTTATTAGCTATTTATAAAACTCTAGATAAAAAAAGAATTACAGCTAACTAACTAAATAATATAAGGTAGGGCAGTAGACTAGTCTAGAACTATGCAGCGCGTTTTAGAGAGTAAATGGCTATCTGCAGATAGAATAACTAGAAAGCCCTATGCTGCATGTTTTATAACAAACTAAATAAAAAAGTAAAAGATAAGTTTATACACATAAACTAACTAACTACTTTTAAAGACTATATTAAGAAAGCTATAACTTATAATAATTATTATAAGAAATATAAAAAAGAAAAAAAATTAAAAAGAACTTTCTAGAAACTAGAATTTGTCTCTAGAAAAAAAAAGCTTTTATAATATAATAAAAAGCTAATAGACCTTAGTTATATAAAGTATATATAAAGCCCTTCTTTTAAGAAGAGCTAAGTTCTAGGACGCAATAAGCCACCTCTAATAAAAAAATAATAAAAGTGGCTAAAAGATAAGGCCTGCCTAAACTGTAAAAAAGTAGAACATTTCTGCTAAAATTACCTAAACTTCTAAAAGAAAGAGAATAAAAATACTACTATAATAATAAAAGCTATTACTGCTAAATATAGCTTTATAAATAAGAAAATATAAGAAAGACTAAATAATAGACTTTACTAGTAATGTAAAGAAAACTACTTTTTAAATAACTGCTTTAAAGTATATTAGAAGGTAGTTATTTAAAATTTTAGTAGCTTTAATATAGTGTTATAAAACTTTATAATTTTTAAAAAATACAAAGAAAAGACTTAGATTTAGGGATACATTATAAATATTTAAAAAAGAGAAGAACAGTTCTCTCTCTAAGACTAGACCTCTAGTACTTTAGCAAGAGAGCTTTTCTAACAGTTTTAGAGATGCAGGTGCTAAAAGTGTAAGTTACTACATAACTACTTAAGCAACTATATAGTCTTACTTTACTAAATAAATATTAGCAACAACTACTTAATGTTTAACATTATATAAAGGATAGCTAAAGTTAAATATAATATTATAAATAAAAAAAAGTAATAGTAATTTTTTACTAAAATTAAAGATTAAAAGCTAGAATAGCTAAGTAAACCTGCTAGGTTTAAAGTACTATAACTAGCGCCTAAGAAACCTAAGACGCTGCTTTTAAGCCTAGTAATCTCTAAAAAGGCTCTTACAATATAATAAAACTATAAATAGTATGTTCTTTGCAGAAGCAGTACCTACAGCACTAATAGTTACTAATAGAAGAACTACCCTGTACAGCTAGTATAAACAAAAGAATACCCTTAGTAGACCTAAGAAAGTCCCCTTAACATGTTATATAAACCTAACAAATGTTTATACCCCTAGTACTAGTGCACACAATAATACTATGTTAAACACTAGAACAATAAACACTAAGCAGAATAGTAGCTTACATAGGAAAAGAACTACAACAGTTGCCTATAGTAAGGAACAGCCTTAGCCTGCAAAACTATAAATTACTACACTTATTAGACAGCCCCTTTTTATAAGCAAGAATTATAGATAAAGTGTAATAAATAAGAAAATTATAAGTTCTACTACTTTTAGTAAAAGGTAGTAAGAAAAGAAGACTACCTAACATTACATTATCTAGTTAAAAATTATAAATGTAAAGTAGCTAACTACTATAATTAAGAACATTAAATTTATAAGAAAAAAAAAATAAATTTAATAATAACTTATAAGACATTAATTTTTATCCCCTTTCTAATAAAGAAGTTAAACATAACATATCTGCAATAATTATAGTAGGATAAGGGGCAGGACACAGTCTAACAACTACCTTTATGTATAAAGGGTGGCCTAGACTTGCCCTTATAGACAGTAGATGCACCTTTACTGCAATAGATAAGGAATAAGTAGATAAATAAAATATACTATTTTACATAAAAAAAAACCTGTTTAAGGTAACCCTTACTAATGCATTATTAATTAAGTATAGTAGAGGATAGATTAACTTAGAAACTTATAAAAAGAACTTTAAAACCTCTAATATAAGTAACTAAAGGTCTATAAATATACTTAAGCTAAGAGGTAAGTATAATGTAATTCTAGGCTATAACTAGCTTAGAACACATAATCTTGCAATTAACTAGAGAACTATAACTATAGAAACCCTAGATAACTATGCACACATAACCTAGTTAGCATGCTACAACAATAGATGCTTAGTTTATAAATAAGTAAAGTAAAGTAGTAGTTACTACCTTAAAAAAAGAAAGCTTTAAAAATTCTTTTACTAAAAGCTAAAAGCTTAAGTAATATAAATAATAAAAAAAAAGCTTAAAAAAGTTTCTTATAAAAAAATTAAAGTAGATAAAGATATAAAATAAATTAGCATTATCTAAACCTAGAACAAAGGTTACATCCCTGCTAAATATAAAGACTATAAAGATATATTTAAAACACTAAAGAACTCTAGAGAATTACTACTGCACTAGCCTTAAAACTATGCTATTAACCTA